ATGGAATACATTTTAAAAGTAACCTTCCCAACACTGATCTTGAGTTCGATAAAGCTTATGTGCCTGTGCACAATGTAAGCTTATTTCATAACATCATATAGTGACCAAATTACTACAATTATAATCATAAAAATGCTCAGAAACTACTCGTACAAACTCGGCTCTTCAGACTGGACGCATCTCATTCACTATGAGACAAACAGGCTCATAAGAAAGTATCTGTACAACTAAAATGCAGACCTGTTAAACATTATATACAGTCAGTTTTTTTAAATTGATGATAATAATCATATCTAAGCAGCTATATTAATTTATTATGGTTAACACAGAATCAGGCACTGAGTCATCCACCTTATCACCTGTGGTAAAAGTACAGCATGACAAGACTTAAAGAAAGAATCTCAGAAACTTGGATTAAAGTATTTTTAATAAAGGCGCAAAATTCATATTTGACAGGACTGAAGCGTGACAGCCTGTCCTTCAGTATTCCTTCAACAGCACGATATCCTGAGCCGGATTACTGGAGATGAAATTCAATTTTTGCTCTTTCCTGAATGAATTGGATGATTTGGGGAAACCAAAACTTCCCAACACCCCCCTCCTCTCATTTGCCATGATTTCCTGTTCTGTCATCCACTGAGGTGAAGAGCAACATGTGACCAGTTGAAAAGTCAGTGTAGGCACAGGCCTGGCAGGCAGCTGCTAAAGCTTCAGGCCTTGAACATTTGTCCTCAGGTTCAACATTTGCTTCTCCTGTCGGGCTTTTTCCTCCTTGAATGCCATTTTATTGGCTTTCTTTTCAACTCTTCTTTCCTAAAAAAAAATACAATAAAATAAAAATTATCAGGAATCAAAATGTAAAACTGATATTCTACAAATCTCTTCATGGCATAATCACAGCTTCCTTTCTGTGGGAAGGCTTTGTAACATCACATATTTCATCATTAAAAAAAATAAATAAATAAATAACTGAGCCTAGTCAGCACAGGATACCAAAGTATTTACCCCAGTTTGCACTTGGATTAGACTCATTTCAATGACTTCTTCAGCTCGTTAATCTTTGGCTGGGTTAAAGAATTAGACCTTTGTCATTCTGACTGTCAACAAATTCCAAGAAAAGAACAAA